ATTCCCAGGAGGACTCCGGAGCCGCGGCAGGGAACAGGCCCTGCTCAGGTCTGACCCCTCAGCCTGGCGGGCCACGGAAGCTTCTGGAGGACTTGCACTCAGAGCAGAGTCTCAAAAGATGAGGAGGTGAGGGGGTGATGGAGGCCACGTCAAATGATGGAAAGGAGGGCTTAGAATTGACCCTGGGGCTCCTGGAGGGCTTTCAGCAAAGAAGTGCAAGGTCGGCCAAGGGGAAGGTCAGACACAGGTGGGAGGACCCGAGAGAAGGCCTCCTGCCCCCCCGCACCAGCTCTCGGGGCGGGGCAGGTGTTCCCAAGCCATGATCCCAGGTCCAAGTGTTCCTCGGAATCTGCCCAGAGGCAGATTCCATGGGTGAGTAGGTTTAGGAAAAGTGCTCCCAGAGCTTCCGTCTGGGAGTCCTAATCTGAAGGCCCAGAGAAGTCCTGGATTCTTCCCTGATTAACCCAGTGTTCCCCAAACACAGAACAGACCTGCTCACACCCCAAAGAAGAGTCTAGGGTGAGCCGAGCTGCCTGCTTTCCGAGGGCTTGCTCTGGAGTGTGACCCCGCTGGCTGGGGGTTTACTGTGAAGGCATGCCCACCAAGGAGGGTCATCACCGCTGCTCCCTGTGACTCAGGGCTGCTGCACTGCTCCGTGCCTCACTTTCCCCATCTGTGCCTCTGCATCCTCTGCCTATTTTCAAAGGTGCGCATGTAAATGGAGCAGCGGGCAGCTCCGGCTTCTTCCCAGCAAGCTGAACCCACCCTGGTCATCGCTGGCATCAGCTTGGGGCACCCAGCCTGGAGCTCGGATCCCCTGCCTTCAGTTGGTAGCAGCATTATGTTTTCCAGACTCACAGTGGGGATGTGGAGGGAGTACTGGTCCGGGAGTCCCATCCTCTTAATGTAGGACCAGGATCAACTGACCTCTGGTAGAACTCTGGAGGGGCTGCAGACACGCCCACTGTGTGTAAGCATGAGCAAAAAAGCAGGCAGCAGAGTCCAAAACCACGATGTGCTTTATTATTTAATAAGATGGTTCTGATTTTACTACAAAATCTGAGGTTCAGGCAGGCCCAGGGGCTAGCCACTGGAGGCTTGCCAACCAGCTGTGAAGCCAGCTAATGGGCCTAGTGGTTCCGAAAAGCCTGGGGACCAGCTCAGTGCTTAAGCAGAGAGAAGGCACTTACTCCCTGGTGGGGTGCTTTGGCATGCAGGTGCCTGCGTGGGCTCTCCAAGCCCCTCCTCCCTCCCTGCCCCTGTAGCCCTGCTAGACATCTCACAGATGCTTTTCTAAAACCAAGAGAAGATGCCCAGGAATCACGCTTATCAGTTTCCAACTGTAGCTGGGGTCGGCCTTTCACAGGCTCAGAGGGGGACATGTGAGCCAAGCCCCGGCAATTCCTGTGGCTCTGGCCACACCTGAGCTAGGCAGGGCAGGCATTAGGACTCCCAGAACGGCACGGGCAGGACATCCTGGGAGATGTCCTATCAACAGCCTGACCTCCTCTGGACGGCTATGTGGCACCCCATGGTGCTCTCTGAGCACCTGCCTTGGGGATGGGCACTAGCATCTCAGGGAAGATGGTCGAGATGCAGGCTCTGCTCCAAGTGGCACTCAGGTCCACTGGCAATCTACATGTGTGGAAAGAGTGGTTGTGGTTGTGGGCATGGGTGGCCCCACAGGAAACCCTCCTCTCCCACCCCTAGATCCTGCCCTGAGGCCCAGCTCCCTGGGCATGTGGCTTTTGAGCCCAAGTGCCATAGTTCCCAGGGGACAGAAGAGGGAGAATCGGTGGGGCTGGCCTCTTGTGGAAACTTTGAAGTTGGGGTCAGAAAGCTGCTGGGGTCTTCAAAGGAATGCTGGAAAGAAGCGCAGGGAGGATGGGCAGGCACTGCTTCTACATGGGAGTTGCTGCTGGTCTTGAGCAGGTGATCCTTTCTTGTTGGATGTTTTCCCATCTGTAAAACAAAGGGTTTGGAATAATTTATCTCTGAAGTCCTTTTCTGTTTTCCTCAAAGGCTGTATGTAAATTGGAGTTCCGAAAACAGAATAAAAGTGGCTCTCCCCAAAGCATGGAATCTGTCCCTGGAGTGCTAGCCCATCCCCCGCTCCAGCATTTGCCAGTGGGAACAGCCTGGACCGTCCCTGCAACAGGGTTGGCTCAACGCTAGGCTGCCCTGTGGGTCGGAGTCCAGCGCCCCCTGGTGGCCCCAAGGCGGGCAGGCCGCTTCGGACCTTGCAAAGGCCCGACGGCTGTGACTCAGGGTGGCACCCGCTGCCAGGGCGGTGCAAGGCCTGAATGGGGTTCCGTCGTGGGCAGAGCCGCGGCGCGATTAATTACCAGCTGCTGGGAATCCTTGTCGCCCGCTTGCGGTGACTCACCCAGCAGCCAGGCTCACTTGCGGAGCGCGGGGGCCTCGGTTTCCAAAATGAATTCTGGGGAGAATGCCTGCTCGGGTGGGGCTCCCCACCCTCGTGCCAGAGGGTTCCCGTGGACCCAGCAGAGCAGACTGCCCAGACACAGCGCACAGCGCGATGTCACTTTCCCCAATGCGCACCCTCCAACTCTCAAAGTACTGTGCAGAGCCTTCCAACTGGGCTCTTCTTTGACGCATTGGGATCCCAGACCCCTTCAATCCCGGAGAGCCAGGAGCCTGAGCGCCGCCGGAGGTGGGACCTGGAGGGAAGCTGGAGCTCCCCCGAGTCCGGGAGTTGTTACAGAGTTGGGTCTGATTCCCCAGCCGGTGCTAGTCTCCTTGCCGGCCTCTTAGACCTCGGGGTGTGGTAGGAGAAGGACCCTACTCCCCAGTCTCCATCTCTTCCTTGGCTAGGGTCAGAGGAGGTAGCCGGGCCAAGGAAGGGTCTCTCGCGGCTTCGTCCTATTGGTTTGGGGCGTGGTTTGGAGCGCCCCCAGTCCAGGAGTCATTCATGTGGGAAAGCCTAGGGCGACCTAAAGGGAGACGGGGGCTAGGGGACCCAGAAGGCCTAAATGGAAAGGAGAAAAAGCTGAGCTTCTTCTCTGGACCTAAGGAATAGCTGTGTCCCGGCCTGAGTCTTGTATACGTGGGCTCCCGCGGCACCGGCCCCAAGAGGCGGGCTGCGGCGCGGTGCGGCTGGGGGAGGGGCAGGGCTGCCTTCCCGGAGCTTCCGCACCCCACCACGGGGTACCAGGAGTGCTTCTCAGAAAAGCAACAGGGAGGGTACTGTAGGGGAAATGCCACGTCCTTTTCTGCTGTCCCTACTCTAAGAGCGGCAGCCTGTGCTATTCAGCGCTTTGGGCAAATGGTTCAGGTTGGCAGGTGCTGGCTGGGCCACCCGGGCGGCACCACTCCAGGGACTCAGGCGGCTCTCAGAACCCCACCACTCTGGAAGGCGGTGGCCCGGGCCGGTGACATGCTCTTGCGCCAGGTGGCTGGCCGCAAGTGCCGCGCCCCCAGGTGCCCATGGCCCCCTTCCTTCTGCTCCTCACTCTCCACCTGATCTGTCCGCTCCCTTCGGCCATCAGTCTGTCTTCTCGGCTGGATCCCTTTTTTCTTCCCCAGCCTCGGGTCCCTCAAACTCTCTGCCTGCCACCGCTGCGTGCGCTCTCGGAGGGGAGCAGAGCTAGAAGGACCCAAAGCCACGTTTGTTCTCCCATCCCCCGCCAAAATCCGCTAGTGGCTCCGCCCCCCACCCCCTCTCCGGCGGCACCCAGCCCTAAACCCTCCCCCACCCCCTCCCTGGCGGCTCTGGCCGCCTCTTCTGGGCTCCCTCCCTGTGCGCCCTGCGCAGCGCTAGGTCTGCGGCGGGAGCTGCCACTCCGCCTCGCAGTTGGCTGGGGACCAGGCGGGAGGTGGCGCGCCCCGGAGGCTGCAGGAGGGAGGGAGGGAGGCCCGGCCTCGGCGTAGCCTGGCCCCCGCCCCCCCCCCCCCGCGGCCCTCCCGCCGGAGCGGGGCTGTCAAGCGCAAACACACACGCGCACTCACAGACGAACACAGACACTCAGCCTCCCTCCAGCGCGCACGCACGCAGCGCCCCAGGCAGGCCAGTGCGGCGGCAGCCTCTCCGGACGCCCAGACGCCGGAGGGCTCAGACCTCTGCGCGGCTGGTGCGTCCGCGCCCGCCCGCGCCTCCACCCCGCAGCTCCTCCAGGCTCGCGGGATCCCTCCGGCCTCCGCCGCCGCTGCCGCCGCGCCCGCCGCCCCCGGAGAAGCTAACTGGCCGCCGCCGCCGCCGCGCAGTTCCTTGGCTGTCCCCGAGGTAGCTCCGCTGCAGACCCTACCGTCTGGAGACCGCGCCCCGCTCCTGCGTCTTGAAGGCTGAGAAGAGCAAACTTCGAAGACCGGCCAACGCGCGGCGGACACCCAGCGGTGTCCCCGCGCGCCCAGGTGGGCTCGGGGCGTTCGGACCTTAGGGCATCGGGCTGCTTCACCCGTTGCACCTGCTTTGCTCCCTCCCCGCAAGCAAGGGACTCTAGAGACAGCCGCCACTTAGCAAACTTTTCCGCCCCCGGAAGGGGGTGAGAAAGGGGTAAAAATGAGTAAGAGATCCCGCAGGGCGCCCTCGCTGGGCGCCGCCGTCAACCTGGAGCCCACCGTCAAGCTGGAGCCCGAGGAGGAGCCCAGGACCCCCGCTCCTCCCTCCACCCTGTCCCCTGCCCCGGCTCCCGCTCTTGCTCCTCCAGCGGGAGCTAGGGGCGGGATGCGCAGGGCCACCCAGTCCGTGAGGATCGTCACTGGGCAGCCCCTCGTGGCCCAGCGCAACACGGCGGGCTGCTTTCGCCGGGCCTGGCGCAGAGTGTCGGGGTTACAGGACGCCTGGCCCAGACGCTCTAGCAGCCTCCTGTGCCTGCCGGCTTTCTCCTCTGAGCCCGGGCCCGCGGGACCCCTGGCCCGCCGTCCACCTCGCGGTGGCGGCGGCCCCAGCGGAGGGGGTCCCCCACCGGCTGCCGGCCCCCCGCCTCCCGGCTGCTGCTGCTGCTGTTGCCACCGCTTACAACTTGGAGGTGGCAGCGGCGGTGGCGGAGGAGGCGGCGGCCGCGGGGCGCTGCAGTGGGACGCGCGCGGCTGCCAGCCTGCGGGACAGGTCCCCCGCACCAACGCCTTGCTGGCAGCCATGAAGAGGCAGAACGTGAGGACTCTGTCCCTCATCGCCTGCACCTTCACGTACCTGCTGGTGGGCGCCGCCGTGTTCGACGCCCTGGAGTCCGACCATGAGATGCGCGAGGAGGAGAAGCTCAAGGCGGAGGAGATCCGGATCAGGGGCAAGTACAACATCAGCAGCGATGACTACCGGCAGCTCGAGCTGGTGATCCTGCAGTCGGAGCCGCACCGCGCCGGCGTGCAGTGGAAATTCGCTGGCTCCTTCTACTTTGCCATCACGGTCATCACTACCATAGGTAAGCGCTGGGTGCGCCTCCGCTGGGCGCCCGGCTCCCGGAAGAGTCCCGGGAAATCACTGAAAGCGCGACGCAGGGCTGGGTGCGGGGTGTTTGGGGTACCCGTAGCCTCGTGTGGGGGCTCTCCTGCAGCGCCCCCTGGTCTCTGGGGTGCCCACTCCTCTCTTATGCCTCTGAGCGCATTCCTTGGGAACCCCACCCGTTGCTCTCCACAGCGCCCGTGTCTGGGCCAGGCGTGTGAGCCTGGAGAGAGTGTGTTGGAGCCCCGAGGGCGGAGGCGCCACTTTTTCGAAGAGTGGAACGCTAAGAATAATCCCATCGCAGTCACCCACCCACCCACCGCCCCAACGCGGGCTGCGCTGTGCGGGATTCCAAGACTTACACTCACTACCTCTTGGGGAGTTGGAGAGGGCTGGCACACTAGGACTTAGGCAGCTGGAGTCTGTTCCTGAGGGTGGGAGGCACTGACCCTAGCTAGCCTCTCATCTCCCTTTTGCCTTCCCTGAGACCAGATTTCACCCCCTTTTTCTTTGAGCTTGGCCATGTCAGGCTCCCGGGAGAAGAGTGCTCTCTAGCACTCCAGGTGGGGACCAGGCAGGTGAACTGCTCTTGGATGGAGGTGGGTGGCCCACCCCCTAGATTGTGACTGTGGGTAAGGCAAGTCTGGATATTGCCCGGAAATGAGACATTCAGCCCCACCCCACCCCATGAGGGTCCAGCTGGTGCACTTGGAGTTGTCTATAAAACCCAGGCCTGGGATGCGTCCCAGCAGGGTGTCTGGTGTGTCCTTAGGGTATCACCCCCACTGAGGCTGGGTGTTGAGAGACTTTCAAACATGCCACTTTGAGACCTGTGGGCATTTGAGCATACCCCTTCATCCCTGTGGGCAGCAGGCCGTGTTGCGTTTCTGTGGGTCACACTTGTCCCAGCATGGCATGCTGCGTCTTTAGGGTATTAGGTGTCTCTTGTACCTGCCAGGGCCAGAACGCTGTCCCTCCAGTCCTTTCGGCCCCTGAGTGCTGGGCGGAGGTCTCCTTCTTCCTGCCCTCTCTAGCCCCCATGCCTTACTTCCCTCCCTGAGCTCCCCTCTAATTTCCCTTGATATTTTTCTTGGTCTGCAAAGCTCTACATGCTGGGGAGTTGGGGGTGGGGGGTGGATTTCTCTGTGCCATATGCAACAGGAAGCACCAGCACAGGACGGCCTGTCTTTCCTTCTTGGTTGAGAAGACTTTTTAGAGTGTCATCTTGTTTTCAATGTTTAATTCATTGGTGCAGGTTTTAATGTTCGGAAAGGAAGTTGCCCTTCTGTCGGCTCCGTGATCAGCTTTGCCCCTGCTGGCCCCAAGCCCTCTGCTAGCACCAAACAGGGAAGAGTCCTTCCTCCTTGTTGTGTTTCTAGTGTTGGGGGGGGGGCAGCTGGTCATTGCCGTCATTTCTGTCTGTAAACTGTGGAGGTGGCATGCAGATGTGCAAGTCATTGATTTTGGGGGCCTATGTGTTGGAGAGCAGGAGAGCAAGAAACATGCCCGTGGAGCTGGCCTTGCAAGGGAGGGAGGAAGCCCAGGTTTCTAAAGGTGCTTTCTGTGATCTAGACCCAGACAGGTGACGTGGCGACCGTGCTGGCTCCCAGTCGTAAAACAGCACATAAAAGGTTTGGCTGCTTCCAGGAGGTGAGCAACAGCATTGAGGAAAGAGATGGAGTTAAAAAAAACAAAACAGAAAGGTTCTAATTAAAAACAAACTGTTGTGACTAACGAAGTTCTTATCAAGGTATGTTTTGCATTATTGATCTTGACGGGTGATTCTGGACATGTGCTCCTAATGGTGAACCTCTGAAGAGAACACGGGAAACATGGACATGGAGGCGGCCATCTCATCTAGGGGTGGTGGGCTCACCTCAGTGCAGGGCCAGGGGCTCCTGAGGAACATGTGACCTTCTCCCTCCCTTACTGGGGTTTCAGCTGGTTTTCTGAAAAGCAGGGTTGGAGAACACACACACACACACACACTTGCACACTCTCACACTTTTTCTTTTATAAAGACACACTCATATACTGTCTCATACACACAGTTTCTCATGCACACTCACACACACAAACACACACACATTTTCTTTTCTTTTTTTAATTGTTTTTCATTTTTTATACACACATTTTCTTACACAGACACTCATACGCCGTCTCATACACACAGTTTCTCATGCACACTCACACATGCAAACACACACATTTTCTTACACAGACACACTCATATGCTGTCTCACACCCACACATTATTTCTCATGCAGTCACACACACTCTTATACACACACCCATAGTCTCACCTCCTCACACACACATATACACTCTCTTTCTCACACATGTGCCCTAACACAACTGCCCATTAGTGGACAGATATTGTATGTGGAGCCCACAGACTGGGAATCTGAATCCTGCCATAGTCCTGGGACATCATTTCCTGACTCCCAGCCTCAGTTTGCCCACCTGTCAAAAGGCCATCACACAGTCAGCGCTGGGTGGCAGCCTCTGGGGGCCAGCAGGGTCCCACATGCCCAGGGCTGCCAGGCGCAGTGCAGCACTTAGTAGGTGTGCAGTCCAAGTTCCTGGACAGTGGCTGATCCAGCCTCGTGCTCTTTGGCCTAAGAAGCTTTTAGCAGAAGAGCTCACATTTACAGGAAATAAAGCACCTTTTCAGTTAATTCTGCTTGTTTTCTTCTCCTTTTTTTCTTAATATAAATGCAAATTAAGGTGCTCTTAGGCCTAGAACAAAAGCCACCCTTGAGCCCGCCCTCCAAGGAGTAGTCTCTACTGGACAGTGATGTGAATGAATCGGGTTAATCTTCATGGGCGTTCTTATTTTTAATCTAACCTTGAGCGATTTCTCAAGTGTGCGTCAACTTTGCGTCCGAGCCTCCCGAGGAGGCTGCGGTGGGAGCTCTGGGTGCTGGCGTCTTCTAATGAACGCATCTTCTCAGATACAGTTATTAGCTCACTCTGTGAAATGGATTTAAAAAACACATATAATTGCCACTTCGTGTTGAATCTGTGGCCGCGCCTGGGTGAAAGGCTTTGGAGGGAAATTGCACTGAATCCCGCCCCAGATCTCCAGGGAGCCCTGGGCATAGCAGCCTGCTGTCGTGATCACCAGGGGACAGCACCAGTCCAGCCAGCTCCGCAAAGGGCAGATGCAATTACATCACCACCCGGTTCTGGTTTCCATGCCTCCCCATTGCTGTGTCTGTGTCGGTGCCACTTGTGGCTCTTCTGAAAGGATTTTATTGTTTAGTTCTAAACTTGTGAGGCTTCAGACCTCTGCATGGGAGACCTTTATCTGTACCTTGCCTGACCTGTCTGATTAGCAGGGCAGTTTGAGTGTCTCCGTCCCAAGACCTGTCAATGGGAGGGTGGGGGTCAGGAGAGCCGGGAGGGTCTGGGCGGGGTGTGGGTGCTTTCTCTGAATTTGCTCTGCGTGGGGCTGAGGTCTTGGTGCTTGTGTAAGGGATTCTGGGCGCCATCTTGTCACCTTCTCATAATAAGCATTTTCAGCCAAAATTGCATCCCACATTTGGGCTCTCCCATGATATGACAGATGTGGAACCCCCCTGCCATTTCTTTCTTCACTCTCATCTTGGGGATCTAGATTGTTACCACCTCTAGAATCATTACAGAAGAAGAGACCAGATCTCCTCTGCAGAGCTGGGGAGGACAATTCAAACACTGGTCTCCGTCGGGGAAGGAGGGTGAGACATGGGGTCTTCCTTTTTTAGCTACAGTTTGGAGGAGGGGGCACTATTTCCCCTGTCTCTCTGGGTCCATCTGAAACTGGGATGGTCATTATGGGAATTGAGGTGACTGGTTCAGGACCGGGGTCCAGCCCAGGGTGGGGCACTCAGAGAAAAAGCACAGGGTTTCTGCAGCTGCTCCAACACAGTACGTCGGAACCTCCTTCTCTAGTCACCAGCAGAGCCACACACAGACTTCCTGAAATGGATGGCATTTCCCATTTTGGGGTGTAGTTTCTGAAACATGTTAGCACTTGCCAAGCCCCACCCTGCCTCACCAGTGCCACCAGCATCAACGGCTCTGGGTGACAGACTAGATTGCAGAAGGTCTGGCCCTGACAGGCAGAGCCGGGAACCCAAGTGGTTGCATGCAGTGTGGGGTCAGCTAAGCCCAGTGACTGCCTCGAGCTGCCCCGGGCCACCGGGCTCGGGGTGCACCCAATCCCCCAACTGCCACTTATCGCCTAGTGCTCCAGGCACCTGGCCCTCTTTCCCCATCTGGATCTCACTCCGGCTTCACTTTCCTGTCCCACTGTGTGTCACTGCTCCTCGGGGTCTGCCACTCGTCCCCCATCTGACCCCGCAGCCACAGTTCTCTACCCACCACCCACCACTGTCCCTCCACACACCTGCCATTCGTCTCCTAGCCCTCACTGGTCCGGTCCTCTCCTCCCTATTCTTCTCCTTACACCCCACGTTCCATCGTGTCACTCTGTCCTCGGGCCTGTCACTCACTCCCCAACCACCATTTGGTCATGCAGTTCTCCACTCACTCCACCGGCTCCGTGCCATCGTATCTGTCCATGGAAGTCCACTCTCGCCCTTTTCTCACTCACCTGTGTCACCTGTGTTTCTGGGCCATGGCCGTCACTCCCTCCTTACCCCTTGTGCCACCCTGTGCTCCACACACCTGCCCTTCACGCCATCCGTCACCATTGCATCACTTGGCTGTCCCCGTCCTACCGGTCATCGCCCCATTTGCCACCGGCGCTTTCTGTACCCCCCACGACACGTGTGCCCCCATCTGCCACAGTGCCACTGTGTCCCCTGCCTCACTCATGCAATCCTCCCTCCTCGTGTCCTTGGCTGTCACTCACTCACCGCTCCTTCCCCTCTGCCACTGTCTTATCTCCATTTCCTGTCACTCATTCCCCACCTGTCATGGGATCACTCAGTCCTCCCTACACCTGTCTTTCGTCCCTGGCCTAGTGTCACTCAG